CATCGAGGCCATGATGATGGAGTAGTGGTATGATCAGCTGCGTATGGACCTTCACCCCACGACGGTTACCGACGACTGTCTCTACTGCGTCCCCACAACTATGCTGCCCGACCAATGTATATTGGTCTCAGCATCAGTGGACGAGGAAGATACTGTTGTATCGAAGACGCTCGGAGACGAGCCTGATCCGCAAGAGCCTTGTCTAGTCTAAATATGCTCGACCACACCTGGCGAGGATTGCTCTGTCGACATCTGGCTCGACAACCGATGTTTCGATATGTGCGACCTATCAAAAGCTTCCAACATTATGACATCAAGACACGTATACAAGTGGAAGTTTGCGACGGTGGGCACCGATAGTGTTAAAACCATCCGTCTCAGACTTGTCCTCCGTGGATTTATGGACACGGAAGCTTTCGATGTGGAAACCTTCTCGGGAACTGCCCGCCGACAGTCCCAGAGGCTTCTGGCAAGTGAAGCTGCGTGTCATCCAGACTGGATCTTAGCATCTATGGACATCGACAAAGCGTTCCTCAAAGGTCTGACATATGAGGAACTCGCATGGTTTGCTTCGCACTTCCACCAGGAAGCGCCCAGGTGCTTCGCACCCTTCCGGGCTTTTCCTCTTATGATGAAAGCCGACGCTGCCTTAGGTGCCTGAAGCCAGGGACCGGTGCGAAAGACGCCCCAAGAGCGTTTTCTCTCAAGATCCTGAATTCGAATTCAGTCAGGATCTACTAACGGCAAAACACGTCGACGACATTAATATGACAGGCCTAGAGAAGAACATAGATGATTACGCACAACGTGTCGAAAAGGTGTTTGGCAAGTGCAAGCTCAACAAACACTTGCACTAACTGTTCCGTCCGCTACACGAAGAACGAACAAGGGGATGTGATCGTGGACCAGGACGAATACATCAAGCAACTACGTCCTATCACACATCCTGAATTACGGGCGCGGCGGCAGACGCCAAGGCTACCAAGCTCATCACCGACGTGTTCCTTGGCCTGCGAGGAGCTCTCGCCTATGCCCTTCTTACTCAGGTCTGGCTCATGGCGTATGTGGTGTCTCTCCAGAAGATCCAAGAGCCTACGCCTACCAACTTACAAGTCAGACGACTGAATGCTGTGGCGCGAAAGCTGATCAGCAGCCCGAAGCGCATCACCTTCCCCCGGATGAAACCGACTGATGAAGTATGCATACATAGTGACTCGGGGCATCGGAAACTCACCGGGGAGGAGGCGATGAAACCAAGGGCCACGGCATTCGTGGGGCTAACGTATTAAGGCGAGGAAGCTCGCCCCAAGGCAAATCCGTCGTTCACCTCTGCGACGGACTATGCAAGTCGCACCGACTGCAGGTGAGGTCCAGCTACGCCGCTGAGGCACTCGCAGCTGCACACAACCTTGATGAATGTTATCCCACTCTCGTCGCCCTCCACGAGCTCAAGGCCGGGGCGCTCACTCCACGACAACTACGGGATATGCGTGAAGTTGGAGGCCTTGCTATCAAAGTATCCCTTACGATAGACGCCGAGTCTGTATGTAAGTTATTTTCTAGCAAAGATCTCAAGATACCGACATAACGCACTCTGCTAGGACATATCAGCTGGATACGTGAGCTCATGGATATAGGTATAGTGCATAACGTACAGTGGTGTGACACTAGGGACATTACCGCAGATGGGCATACAAAGGAGAGTGTCGATCGGGAGCTGCTTTTGGAAGTGATGTCAGGTACTCAGTCGTTTAAGCATGACGTGAAGCAGATTGTTCCCTTTCGGGGCCCTGAGGACAAAACAAAGCCTAAGCCGAATCATTTTTGTCTGTCCTTGTTGCCTCTGCGGTCCAGTTTGCCAGCACGGGCGCCTATTATGGAGGCCCCCTCTTGCTTATTCGGAAACGAGCCATACTTTTCACGCTTGGCAGCGAGCCTGTTCAGTTTGGTTCAGGCTCTTTGCCGTAATACCTTTTGGCCGGAGGGGAATAGCCTGTTTGGCTAACCTCTAACCGGGCCGATAGCCCTCGCCCACTCCAGGGGGCTGTCTCTACGAATGCGTGGAAAAGTTCTGCGAGGAAACTCGCCGGCGAATGCTATCGCCCCTCAGTCTGGTGGTAAACTTGACTGCGAGTGCTGTTTTCCGTGCAAGCTGTCGCGCGACTGCCGAGAGCATAGCGACTGCGCGGCTTTACTCTCCGTCTCCTCCCCTCCCGACTTGAAGGGTAGCTCTTTGGGAGATGTTATATGTAAACGGGGGTATAGCCTGCGCGTCGCTGCCTTATGGCTCAAGGCACGCGCGCCCTATTTGCCCGGATACCTGACTTGGTATTCGCTATGTGCTGGAAAGACCGATACATCGATCTTTTCCTATCTTACCCATCCACACCCCATATCGTATTCCTTCGACATGGAATTGGATGCAATATGACCGACCAGAGTCATTTCAGACTCTTTTGGGTCATCTTGGAAACATCTTGAGGCCCCGGATGGCCATCGGAAGCGAAACGGCGAGAACGCAAAACATCTTGATGTCCTTCAGGTGTTTGAAGAATTTGGCTTTTGGGTGGCCTACTTGGAGGTCTCGGAGGCCTCTTGGGGCCGTCTTGGAGCGTTCTTGGGGCCTCTTGGAGCATCTTGGGAACCATCCTGAGACATCGTGAGCTATCTGGAGCCATCTTGGAGCTCATCTAGGACTCTCAGGGGCTGTCTTGGAGCCGTCTTGGGCCATCCTGGACGCTCCAACGCCTCGCCGCTCCCCCCGTCCAGGTCCAGGGGAGGGGGTATGGGGGGAGGGGTCAAGCTACCCACCCGCCCGCAAGCCGTCCAGCTCACTCCCACCCGCCCTCCCAACACATGAGTAACACCCGAGCCTGAGCATGTTCAGCGGTCGTCTTTGGGATGGGCAGCTACTGGGAACCAAAACCGACCCCAGGTGCGCAACGTTTGGGCGAGGTGCGCCACGCGTGCCAGGGGCGCCACGCGCGCCAGGCACCCCTGGGGCCCGAGCGTGCCAGGCACGCCTGGTGCGCCAGATGCGCCACGTGCTCCGAGTGCGCCAGGTGCGCCGCGCACTCCAGCTGCGCCAGGTGCGCCATGTTCGGGGCACGTGCAGGGTGCGTCAAGTGCGCCTGCACATGTGACAGCACACATCGGGAAACATGTCGGCCCCCGCCATCCTTGTCGAAAACCAGTGCCCATTATTGTGCTGGTGGGCCTGCGCACAGCAGACCAGGCGCCACTACCCCCGTCGTCCCTGTCAAAAACCATTTGACACCAATCGCGGGATGGCCGCGCATGATCCAGATTTAGCCGCGAGGTGCATGTCGTATTGTTTTTTTGTTGTCAGGGATGGTAGCCTTGCGCAGCAGGGAATATGCTGGCACCCCCCCGCCGTCCCTGTCAAAACAAAGCAAAGTGCTCGTGGGCCTCGCGAAGATGACTCAAGACTTTGCCCCAAAGTGTACGTTGCATTGTTTTTTGACAGGGATGGTGGGGAGGGGGGGCCGCATCGGGTTGGCCGCTCATGCTCCAAATGTGGAGGCAGAGTGCGGTTTATATTGTTTTCTTGTCAGAAATGGTTGGGGGCGGGCCCGCTTGGAGTCGGCATGGTTCCTGGTTGGCCGCCGGCCGGGTGGGGGAGGGGGCGTATATCAAAAAGGAACAGTGATAAACCCCTCCGCGAAGGGGAAGGAGGTTGGAAGAGGAGCCTCCCTAGACCACCTACGCCCAGAGGGCTGGTGGGATTAGGACACATTAGTTGGATAGCATTTCCAGACTTCGGCATCGCTCACAATGTCCAGTGGTGTGACACTCGCGACGGGGCCGCTGATGGACACGCCCAGGGTAGCATTGACCGTGGCGTATTTCTGCAGATCTATTGGCTGGCATTCGGAGTTTCAAGCATGAGGTCAAGACGCATGTTCCATGTCGGGGCAAGCGCGCCCCCGTCACCGCTAAGTAATCGTCGTGGCTGCCCACGCGCAGTCATGGACCCTCGAGGTCTGTTGGACTTCGCGCCTGCAGATTCACTGCGTGTAAAGGAGGGGGGGCCCTCTTGCTGGCCCCATGCCGAGTTGTCGCGGACCCGCGACCGCTCTCTGTTGGCGCGGGCTCGCGCCCACATGACACACCTCGCATTCGAGGTACCGCGACGGTGGCTCGCAGCTTTGACGTTTCCGATCGGGGATCAGACCCTGTCGGCTGCCCTCTGGGCTTGTCGGGACTGGCCGCTGCCACGTCCTGCCTCCAAGTTGGATTTACCCAGCCTGTTAATGCGCAATTTGGAGCTGTGTCACGTCGGAATCACGGCCACGTGATTTTGACTGGCTGAGCTCTCAGTTCCACGCGCACAGTTTCGATGATCCGAGTTGGGCCGATCGATTGATTCTATTTTGCCATGGTATCGCGCTGAAGTCATGCCAGGGTGGCGGCGGGCAGGCTTCGCCCCCCCGTCGAGTTGCAGGGGTTCTGCAAGAGAAGCCCTTTGATATACGCTTGGCCTTCCACAGCGATCCATCAGTAACTGGAGCGGTTACTCAATCTGCGGCGGTGCGAAGGACATAGGCATCGATCTCATGTCGCCGCCACCGCCGCCAGTCTAATTTTCTGCCCTGACATCCTACATACATATATATATACACATACATATATATACATATATATAAAAACATATTTTTATATGTGCATATATATATATAAATATGTCATGCAATGGCAGCTCCTGTTCAAGTAGGGGTAGGCAGATTTGGCGCCTGCGCACCAAGCCTGTCCATCCTCCTGTCTCATCGTATCTCCCCATCCGCATCCATCCTCTTGATTTTCATCCTCCATCCACCGCCCTCCCTCCGTCCATGCGTGCTCAAAAGATGCAGGGCAAGTGCGGAGGGGATAATGGTTAGGGGGGCATTTGGAGGGAGTCGACAAGGAGCGGGGCGAGAGGGGGAGGAGAAGGGACAATAATTGCATACGACAGCCCCCATACGCTTTCTGCCCCGCAGGAGCTGGACAACCTGGGCGTCCCGATGGACTCGGTTGTGAAGGTCTGGTGCGTCCACAGCACACCGAACTTTTCGCTGCCCTGGCAGAGGCGCCGGCAGGAGAGGTCGAGCGGCTCTGGCTTCTGCATCGACGCGAAGAGACGGGTTGTTCTCACCAACGCGCATTGCGTGGAGTGGCATACGGAGGTGAAGCTGCAGCGGCGCGGGAGCGATGCAAAATACCTGGCAAAGGTACTTTCCGTCGGTTGGGAGTGCGACGTGGCTGTGCTCACCGTCGAGGACCACGGTCTCAAGCACTGGCAATTAGGGCCAGGGGGCACATGAACCATCAAACATACCTTCCCTTGGCGAGCTGCAGTCAACACGTTGTTGTTTTGTTTGGCCATGGGATGGTTGTTTGGTTGTTCCTGGTCTTCTTGGCCCCTTGGGCGGCTAAGTGACCATGGGTCGAGGACGACGAGTTCTGGGAGGATATGCCAGACGTCAAGCTCAACCCGAAGATTCCGCGCCTTGAGGAGGACGTGCTCTGCGTTGGTTTTCCCATCGGCGGGGACACTATCAGCGTCACGAGCGGCGTCATCTCCCGTATAGAGGTCACGACCTACACCCAGTCTTCCATGGAGCTCCTGGGTATCCAAATCGACGCCGCGATCAACAGCGGGAACAGCGGTGGTCCCGCATTCAACGCCGCCGGAGAGTGCGTTGGCGTCGCGTTCCAGAGCATGAGCGCCGATGAGGCTCACAGGGGAAATATCGGTCTCCTTCATCTGCCTACCAGCTTTGGTGGACCCCCGCCACCTACCCGTCCGTACCAAACTGGCGATTTGTATGGCTTTGTAAAAAAAATGGCAGCGAATGCGCGGGTTAAAATTTACCCTCCAGGCCGAGAACATAGGATACGTCATCCCGAGCGTGGTGGTCATGCACTTTCTCAATGACTTGCTGAAGCACGGAAAGTACACCGGTTTCCCCACTTTGGGCGTGGACATCCAGACCATGGAGAACGCTCACCTCCGGGAGTCCTACGGCATGGCGCCAAAGCAGAGGGGCGTTTTGGTCAGCCGGGTTGTGCCTACGTCTGCGGCCGCGAAGGTGGTCAAAGCAGGGGACGTGCTGCTCGCGTTCGACGGCGAGCCCATCGGCAATGACGGGACCGTGCGTTTCAGGAAGCACGAGCGCGTCATGTACACATGGCTCGTGGCCCAAAAGTTCTTCGGGGAGAAGGCGACGCTCACCGTCCTGCGGGACGGCCAGAAGCTGGACGTGCACATAGATAGCTTCCAGCCGCAGGCGGCGCTGGTTCCCATCCACCTCTTCATGAGGAAGCACCCTGGTCCGTCGTACTTCATCGTTGGAGGGCTGGTTTTCACGTCCCTGTCACTACCATTTCTGGAGTCCGAGTACGGTCAGGATTGGGACAGAAAGGCGCCAGTGTATTAAGAATCAGTCACTGAACCGATTTCTTTTTCCCAACCCTCCTTGGTTGGGTATTCGTATTGAATAGAGCAGTGTGGTCTCCACTTCTTCCTTCCCGTCCCGCCTCTTGCCTCCTCCTGTCTTGCCTGCGGGGGGCTGCGATCTGTGAAACTGTCGCCACTTTCGAGGCCTGCTGGGGGGCCCAGCACAGTGACGCCACGGGCGGATTCAAATTAGACCTCGCCATCCCTGGGGGGCTGCGATCTGTGAAACTGTCGCCACTTTCGAGGCCTGCTGGGGGGCCCAGCACAGTGACGCACGGGCGGATTCAAATTAGACCTCGCCATCCCTGGGGGGCTGCGATCTGTGAAACTGTCGCCACTTTCGAGGCCTGCTGGGGGGCCCAGCACAGTGACGCCACGGGCGGATTCAAATTAGACCTCGCCATCCCTGGGGGGCTGCGATCTGTGAAACTGTCGCCACTTTCGAGGCCTGCTGGGGGGCCCAGCACAGTGACCCACGGCGGATTCAAATTAGACCTCGCCATCCCTGGGGGGCTGCGATCTGTGAAACTGTCGCCACTTTCGAGGCCTGCTGGGGGGCCCAGCACAGTGACGCCACGCGGCGGATTCAAATTAGACCTCGCCATCCCTGGGGGGCTGCGATCTGTGAAACTGTCGCCACTTTCGAGGCCTGCTGGGGGGCCCAGCACAGTGACGCCACGGGCGGATTCAAATTAGACCTCGCCATCCCTGGGGGGCTGCGATCTGTGAAACTGTCGCCACTTTCGAGGCCTGCTGGGGGGCCCAGCACAGTGACGCCACGGGCGGATTCAAATTAGACCTCGCCATCCCTGGGGGGCTGCGATCTGTGAAACTGTCGCCACTTTCGAGGCCTGCTGGGGGGCCCAGCACAGTGACGCCACGGGCGGATTCAAATTAGACCTCGCCATCCCTGGGGGGCTGCGATCTGTGAAACTGTCGCCACTTTCGAGGCCTGCTGGGGGGCCCAGCACAGTGACGCCACGCGCGGATTCAAATTAGACCTCGCCATCCCTGGGGGGCTGCGATCTGTGAAACTGTCGCCACTTTCGAGGCCTGCTGGGGGGCCCAGCACAGTGACGCCACGGGCGGATTCAAATTAGACCTCGCCATCCCTGGGGGGCTGCGATCTGTGAAACTGTCGCCACTTTCGAGGCCTGCTGGGGGGCCCAGCACAGTGACGCCACGGCGGATCAAATTAGACCTCGCCATCCCTGGGGGCTGCGATCTGTGAAACTGTCGCCACTTTCGAGGCCTGCTGGGGGGCCCAGCACAGTGACGCCACGTTCAAATTAGACCTCGCCATCCCTGGGGGGCTGCGATCTGTGAAACTGTCGCCACTTTCGAGGCCTGCTGGGGCCCAGCACAGTGACCCAGCCCATCGTGAAACTGACGAGGCACAGTTTTGACGCTTCGCGTATCCCCACCAGCCCATCCAGAAACGATGCTCAGGGGAGTTGAGGTGATCAGGGAAGTCGGGGAGCATGCAGAATAACAAAGGGCGGGGGAAGCTGTCACAGACCCCGAGAGGGGGAGGATGGAAGAGGAGTCGTCGTCGTCGTCGTCGTCGGAGGAGGAGGAGGAGGAGGAAGAGGAGGAGGAGGAGGAGGAGGAGGAGGACGGAGAAGGAGGAAGAATCGGAGGAGGAGGAGGAGGAGGGGAAGGAGCTTCTTGGGGGTCTTTTGAGGGCCTCTTGGAGGGCTTTTTGGGCGCCTTGGGGCATCTTGGGCGCCTCTTGGGACCCTCTTGAGGCGCTCTGGGGAGCCTTCGGGGCGCTTTTGGGGCCATCTTGGAGGGAGTCGATCAAACAAGAGGGGGGGTTTAATTAGCGTCCCCCCTCGGAAGCCCCTAAAATCGCCTCTTGGACCCCTCTTGGAACGCTCTTGGAGTGCTCTTGGGCGCTCTTGGGGCCGTCTTGGGGCTCTTTTGGGGCTCTCTTGGGGCCCTCTTGGGCCATCTTGGAGCCATCTCCAGGCCTCGGATGGCCATCGGAAGCGAAAAGGCGAGAAAGCAAAAATCATTGATTTTCCTTAGGTTTTGGGACGATTTTGGCCTCTTCGGGGCCTCCTTGGGGAGCTGTTTGGCCACTTGGAGTTATCTTGGGGCCGTCTTTGGGCTTCTTGGAACCATCTTAGGAGCCATCGTGAGCGATCTTGCGCTATCTTGAGCCATCTTGGAGCTCATCTTGGGTTCTCTGAGGCGCTCTTGGAGCCGTCTTGGGCCATCTTGGACGCTCTAACTACCCGCGGCCCCCCCCGTCCAGGTCCAGGGGAGGGGGTAGGGGGAGGGGTAAACCCCTCCCCAAGGGGGAAGAGGGAGGGGTGGAAGAGGATCTGCTCTAGACCACCTACGCCCAGAGGGCTGGTGGGATTAGACCTCGCCATCCCTCGGGGGCTGCGATCTGTGAAACTGTCGCCACTTTCGAGGCCTGCTGGGGGGCCCAGCACAGTGACGCCACGCGCGGACCCAAATTAGACCTCGCCATCCCTGGGGGGCTGCGATCTGTGAAACTGTCGCCACTTTCGAGGCCTGCTGGGGGGCCCAGCACAGTGACGCCACGCGCGGACCCAAATTAGACCTCGCCATCCCTGGGGGGCTGCGATCTGTGAAACTGTCGCCACTTTCGAGGCCTGCTGGGGGGCCCAGCACAGTGACGCCACGCGCGGACCCAAATTAGACCTCGCCATCCCTGGGGGGCTGCGATATGAGATCCCCGCTTTCGAAGTGGCTAGGGTTGCTCAGGGATTGTAACTAATCAGCTTTATCCAATCCGTGTCCTGTAGCCAGTGTCCTCCGAGTCTCCCGAATTCCGTCAGCAGAGATATGTAACCCTCGCTCCGTCATCGCCCCCTTATTAAGTGTCCTAAACTATTTGCGCCCCGCGTTTGCGCAGGGGTTGGGTACGTCGCCAGGGTAATTTGGGTCAGAATGGTCGTGGATCGGGACCAACTCGTTGACGCTTCGCGTATCCCCACCAGTTCGCGTTCTGCCCGTGGCCTTTACAGTGCCTTGCTGTCCGTCTTGGCCTCGCTTCCGTTTGCGGTTCGGCTGGAGCTTGGCGCCGCAAGGGCGACTTCTCCCCCCCGTTCCGTTGCCGGTTGCCGCGCCCTTTGCCCACCAGCCGGGCTGTCTTGGCCGGTCACCAGCAGACGCTGAATTGCGTCTCAATGAGGGGCATTTTGTCCCTGGCACGTGCATGCGCCACTGCGTGTGTTGTCCGCTGGAGTCTGCGGCAATCTCGCGCCAATTATCTACGTACCGCGCCCCGGACGTTGTGCCCGCTCCATGTCCCTCGCCCTGGAGCCGCGAACCAAGAAAAAATCCCCACCAGTTGCAGCCAGCCCCCCTCCACTCGCCAGCCTGCCCGCCGAGGTGCTGCGTGAGGCTCCGGCCCACCGCTTTAGGAAATCGCTTTTGCGCGGCCCGCTCTGACTGGACTTGCCGCTGGCGCTCTCGCCTGCGACCGCTGACAAAAAAGTATCCCCACCGGCTCATGCAGCTGTCCTGGGTGAGGTGCTTAGCCCTGCAATCGGCAGTTCGCTTGGCAGTTCTCTGCGTGCTGCCACTCCGTTCAGGCGTTCGACGTCGACCTTGTCCATCGTTTCGTGGTTGGCAGCATCAGGCGTGTGGCCGATCCGCTCAGGATTTCGGTGTCGACCCCTTCCACCGCTTTCCTGGCTGGCTCTTCCTCTCGGTCTTGGAGAAGGGATTGCCTGGGATCTTTCTCTCAAAAGTGAGTGTGCGACTTCGGTGGCGCCGCTCGTACTGTTTCCTGTTCAGTGACGTATTCCTGGCCATCGGTGTTAGTACTACCTCCTGGAGTGTATTGCAAGCGGGCTGCCCCCTTCAGGGGCTGGGTGCATGGATGTCTCGTGTGGGTCTAGTTCTCGCCCTCAGCGGCCACTTGTCAGCGTTGTGTATGACTTTGGTGGCGCCACTTCCATGCACTAGTCTCCTGGTCAGTGAGTTCTTCCTGGCCTAGATGGTGTCTGCGGTCCTTCGTGATGATGCTCCTGGCTTCACCCTGGTATCGCTCCCGCGCTATTTTGGCTGCGCCCCAACCTCGGTTGCATATTTTTGCATGCGCTCGCTCCTGGACCTGTTTCCTGGCAGCTGCAGCCCGCACCACCTCGCTTCCGGTCCGCTCTGGTGCCGCTTAGGCCTCTCGTTTGCCGGCGCGTTAGGCAGTTAGGTTCGCGCGCGGCCCGCCCGTTCCGTTTGACGCCGCCGGCGCTTTCGCTTGCGGCCGCGACAAGAAATATCCCAACCGGCCCATCCAGAAACGATGCTCAGGGGAGTTGAGGTAGGGAAGTGGGGGAGCATGCAGAAGAACAAAGGGCGGGGGAAATTGTCCGAGGTGGGGGATGGAGAAGAGGGATGAGGGACGAGGAGGAATAGGCGGATAAGGAGGAGGAGGAGGAGGAGGAGGATGAGGAGAAGGAGGAGGAGGAGGAGGAGGTGGAGGAGGAGGAGGAAGAGGATGATGATGATGATGATGATGCTGATCATGATGAGGAGGAAAAGGAGGATGAGGAGGAGGAGGAGGAGGAGCAGAAGGAGGAGGAGGAGAGGAGGAGGAGGAGGAAGAGGAAGAGGTGGTGGAAAAAGGACGAACATACATACATTAAAATTCCAGCCTCCTCGGATGTCTCTTGGGAGTTGTTTGTAGGCCTCTTGAAACGTCCGGGGGACATCTGGGGTGCCGCGGGCATCCTCTTGAAGCCTCTTGGGGGCCTCTTGGACGCATCTTGAGCGCCCTTTGGGCCCGTCTGGGCGCCTGTTGGGGCCCTCCTGGGGCGCTCTTGGGTGCCTTGGGAACGCTCTTCGGGCTATCTCGGAGGACGTCGATCAAAACAAATCCTGGCGAAGGACCTAACCATATGCAGTTTGGAGTAACGCGTTGTGTGTGCCGCTTTGGGTGGAACTCCCTGTTGGGCCAAGAAGCGCGTGAGGGACATGCCGTACTGG